ATGAAATAAGGGGGCTGGGGATTTAGCTCAGCGGCAAAAGCGCCTGCCTGGCAAGCGCAAGGTCGTGAGTTCGGTTCCCGGTACCGGAGAAAAACCAAAACAAACAAACAAAAAAAAAAAGACAAAAAAAAAGCATGAAATAACTAGAAGAAAATATATTACTTCTAAAAATATAAATTTGGAAGATGGAAGGCCTTTCAAAGTACAGCACACAGGAGAAAATATAGAAAGGGAAGGCTACCAAATTTTGTAACATAAAAAGATGCATTCTTTATAATGAAAGACACTATACACATACATAGGTGTGCACATAAATAGCTAAAAGTGTGAAAATCAGAATGCATATTGCTGAGGACCAATTAAATTGAATACAAAGAGATCTTACAAATGAACTGAAATTAACTATCTGGGATGATGCAAATACAAATAAAGGCAGTTTCTAGCAATATAAATACAAAGAAATAGCAAAAAGAAAAAAAAAGTACTTAGACTCACTCGAGATCACAGTAATACAGATTTAAAAGCCATCTAGGATGAACCAGTGGCCAGCATCATATTAAATGGAGAGAAACTGAAAACTTTCCCTCTAGAATCAGGAACAAGACAAGGATGCCCACTATCACATAGTATAGCTCAGTATAGTTCTCAAAATGTTAGTAGAGTGATTAGACAAGAGAAAAAATAAAAGGCATATGGATGGGAAAGGAAGAAGTTAAATTACCATTATTTGCAGATGATATGATGCTGGACATACAAGTCCCCCAAAACCCCACCAGAAGACTGTTAGAATTAATAAACCAAATGCAGCAGCATAGCAGGACACAAATCAACACTCAAAACTCAATAGTGTTCCTGTACAGTAACAATAAACTCACTGAGAGAGAATTTAAGGAAATAATACCTTTCATAATAGCATCAAGAAAGATGACATACTTAGGCATTAACATTACCAAGGAAGTGAAAGACTTCTACTCTAAAAGCTGCAGTATTCTAAAAAAGGACGTCCTACAGGATATCAGAAAACATCCCCTGTTCCTAGGTAGACAGAACCAATATAGTTAATATGACTATCCTTCTGAAACTGTTATACAGACTTAAGAAATCCCGATCAATATATCAATAGTGATCCTCACAGAACTAGAGAAAGCAATTCTAAAATTCATGTGGAGCCAGAAGAGACCTACAATAGTAAAAGCAATGCTGGAGAACAAGGGCAAGACAGGGGGCATCACAAGCCCAGATTTCAAGTTATATTACAAAGTTACCCTGATAAAAGCAGCATGATATTGGCAAAACAAAACAAACAATCAAAACAAAACAAAACGAAAAATCCCACTTGTGGTTCAGTAGAACACAACAGAGAATGCAGAAACAAATCCAAGCACTCAGCTACCTTGTCTTTAACAAAGGGGCCAAATACTTTCACTGGCCTCTTTAACAAATGGTGCTGGGAAATCTGGCAGTCTTTATGTTGAAGACTGAACCTAGACCATTATCTCTCACCATGCACTAAACTATAATCAAAATGTATCTGGCTGGGGCTATAGCTCAACGGCACAAGCACCTGCCTGGCAAGCGCAAGGTCCTGAGTTTGATTCCTGGTACCAAAAAAAATGTATCAAAGATTTAACTAAATATTAAATAAGAAACACAATCTGATGGATGACAACGTAGGTAAAACTTTTGAAAGCATAGGAATAGGCTGACTTTCTGAACAGAACCCAGGTCGCATAAGAAATAATACCAAAAATCAACAAATGGGATCAAATGAAATTAAAAAGCTTCTGCACAACAAAGGAAACCACCAACAGAGAGAAGAGACAACTTACAGAACAGGAAAAAATTTGCTAGCTAATTTTCCACCTTGGACAAAGGACAAATATCTAGAATATATAAAGAACTCAAAAAATTTAACACTCCCCAGCATAAAGACACAATGAGAAACGGGCATCTGAAATGAACAGACACTTCCCAGAGGAAGAAGTGCAAAGGCCAATAAATACATAAAAAACTTCAACATCACTGGTCCTGCAAGAAATGAGAATCAAAACAACACTGAGATTCCATCTCACTCCAGAAAGAATGGCTACCATCGCGAAATCAAACAACAAATGCTGGAGAGGCTGTGGAGGAAAATGAACCCTTCCTCCTTGTGGGTGGGAGTGTATACTGGTGTAATCACTATGCA